AAACTCTACAATATTGGTTAGAAACGGAATTGAAGGCGACTTTAGCGATGTTGACGATGATCTGGCAGACCCAGAATTCTTCTATAATCTGAGCAGTCAGGAAACGAACAAAATAAGGAAAATGAAATCAGTTACAATCAGACTGACCACCGTGTCTCCTCATGAAGCCAACCAAGTTCCAGTACCTTCAACTGTAAGTCCTATTCCAGTTTCTTCTGTAATCAGTATTATTATGGGAAAAATGGTTTCAAGTGGTCATTTGAAGAACCTTTACAGATCGAGTCGTACAGCAAGTCATAATATTGTTGATATTCCTCGACAACAGCCCAAAACATTTATTGATTCGGAATCTTTATGGCTTGAGTTATTCGACACTACTATGATTGATACGATTGTTACCTGCACTAATCAAAAATTATCAGAAATTCGCATGAAGTATAAAAACCCAAATAAAATTGAACTAAGACCTACCGATCGTGAGGAAATGAAAGCTTTTCTGGGATTATTATTTTATACCTCAGTCTTCAAATCGAATCACGAAAACACTAAATACATTTTTGCTAGTGATGGTTCTGGACATGAAATTTTTCGTTGCGTCATGTCTCAGTTTAGATTTCTCACCCTCTTGAACTACATTCGTTTTGATGACAGTAACACTAGATCGCAACGCCTCGAAACGGACCCATTGGCTGCAATTTCAGAAATTTTTCAACTGTTTATTGCAAATTGCAAGAAGGCATATCCTCCCGGTGCTTATTTATGTGTAGATGAAATGTTAGTTCCATTTAGAGGCAGATGCAAATTTCTTATTTATATGCCGAAGAAGCCGGCCAAGTATGGTCTGAAGATTTTAGTAGTATGTGATGCAGTATCTTTTTATGTGTATAATGCATACATTTACCATGGAAAAAACTCCGACGGGCTGGGACTAACCGAAACTGAGAGAAAGCTCGCCATACCAACTCAGTCTGTATTACGATTGTGTAAGGATTTTGAAAAAACCAATCGCAATATTACAGCCGACAATTGGTTTAGCTCTATAGAACTGATGGAGCAGTTGAAAGATAGAAGTCTGACGTATCTTGGAACTTTGAAAAAAAATAAAAGGCACATTTCACCAGAGTTTCAAGCATCTAAAACTCGCCAGCCTGAATCATCTTTACACGGTTTTACTAAAGGTTTCACTATTGTTTCATATGTCCCTAAAAAAGCAAAATCAGTAATATTGATTTCTTCAAAGCATCATAGAAAGCAATTGGATTCACTATCAAAAAAGCCGGATATCATAATAGATTATAATAAAACAAAAGGGGGTGTCGATGAAATCGATAAAAAGTGTTCCAATTATTCGTCAAATCGTAGAACCAGACGTTGGCCTCTCGCGATTTTTTTTAGAGACTTGGATATGAGTGGAGTCAACGCCTATGCTCTATACTAGACCTGCACTGCTCGCTTATAGTTTAGTTTTGCCGCACTTGAAATGCCGCGTATACAATAATAGATTACCGAGAGAATTGCGACTGACAATTGCACGCGTACTAGGTCCAAATAAGCCTCCGGTATTTGAAACAATACCCCCTGAAAGTACAGAAGCAACGAGAACTAGCTGAAAGTGGAATTCTGTCTTAAGGCAATTAGGGCATCGTGCCTTAAGGCAAATTGCTGGAACTTCCCGTACCCAAAATTATTATATTTTTTTAAAAACGATTAACATTTTTCAAAAAAAATTACTTCGAAAAAATTAGATTTTTTGAAAAACTATAAATTTGATAAAAAATTACTATTTTTTGAAAAAAAAAATTTATTTGAAAAAAAAATTTTTTTGTTGAAAGAAAAATTTTTTTTTTGAAAACAAAAAATTTTTTGGAAAAGAAAAATGTTGTCTTCATTTTGACATATTTTGGAAATTCTGAACTTTTTTTCAATGCAATCGTACTGCTTGAACTGCATAGAGACGAAATGTCACAGCGCAAGTGCCGCGCCGCCGCCTAACGCATAAGCATTGGTACGGAACCCATAGAAATGTGAAAAAAAAATATACTTATTGTTAAAATCTCTATAAAATATCTGATAATTTGATGTGCATATGTCTAGTGATCATTTTTAACCGCCGAATAGCATTTTTTTTTACTTTTTTCATTAGATCTCCGAAACCGCTAGACCTGCCTTCATGAAAATTTGATCAATTCTTCATCTTGTCAATACAAGTAAAATGTTTTTTTGAATTATTCAAATCGGACGCTCCGTTCTCTTAAAAACGGATGTACCGTTTTTGGCACTTTTGCCCCGTATCTTCGGAACGGCTAGACCTGCCTTCGCCAAAAACTAATCAGCACGTCTCCTTATCAATACAAATCGAATGTTTTTTGAATTATTCAAATCGGTTGATCCGTGTTCCCGAAATCGTCGACGAAAATTTGTATCCGCACATACATACACACACATACATACATACATACATACATACATACATACATACATACATACATACACACACACACACACACACACACATACATCCATTTTTTCTAAGGTATGCCAAAATGTTCAGAAACCTCTGAAACGTAAAGATATATAAAAATTTTCATTTTCGATTATTTTGCGATTACTATAACTTACCCTACGGGAAGTTAAAAACGTGTCAAATATGCCCATCAAGACTTAAAAGGCGTACTAAGTACAATTGCATCGAACGCCGCAAGCCTATTTGTCTTGGATGTTCAAAAACGATATGCGTGGACTGCGCAGACAACAAGTAATTTGTCCCAGAATATTAATGTGATTTGAGAAGCAATTGTTACCTAAGCAAAACTATAATGTAGACTGATATTATAAATGTAGGAAATTTTCCAAATAACGTCCAAATAATCATATTGTAGCTAAGATTATTACATATATATTTTTAGCCAGGCGAAATATAGGTTATATGATTTGAACCAAATAAATGCTGATTTGATTAGAAAATGTTGTATTTTTCACTTTCTTAATAGGATAATAATGGCAGATCATAATAAAATTTATACAATACATAATTCAGTAAATAAAAATTATCCATTTCGATTATTTAATATGCCGTCTGACATACGTCACGTCATCATTTATGATACGACGAAACCACGTCAGAACTCACGTTAATGAATTAGTGCAAAAAATAGTGTTTGTTCATATTTCCAAATTAATATATATATATATATATATATATATATATATATATATCTTATATATAAAATTCTTCTGTAACAATGTATGTTTCATTAATCCTCCTAAACTATAATTCTGATTTTCATGAATCTTCCTGAAGTTTGTTCGCGAAATTTTCTAGAGTGTTTTGATATATAGAAATATAGTTAGATTGTAGAAATAAATGGAAAAAATTACAAAAAACCGCTTATCATTGTTTGACATTGAAAATATTTTGGGCATTGCAAATGTCATCTGTCAAAAATTTTCCTTTACTCATGACATTATATTAGAATATGTATTATAAATTCATGATTATGAATAAAAATTATGAATATTATTGCCGAATCAGCTGAGATATGACAGAAATTAAATAAAGTATCTTTTTTCCAGATACAATTATATATTTCATTTTAACAGATTTTGAAATACAAATGTATTTAAAATTTTTCTTTGAAGGCTATGATTTATGTTTAATTAAAAGCAGATCAAAAATTGCAAAAGATATTATTACGGAAATTCAACTAAAGTATAATATGTCTATATGTAAAGAAATTTACACGTCGTTAAAATGCAGAGATATATTAAAAACAGATACCAAGTTTTGCAACAGAATTACATTAATGTTTCTAATATGCAGCTAAATTTGGCTATATATGTGACATATATACTTACATATATTACATATATACTACATAATTTTGTTTCAAACCTGGTGTCTTTCTTTCCAATGTGTAGAACTCAATCTGATAATACCTCCTAAAAACCATGTCTTTTCGGCAGACTCCTATTTAACATCTCGAAGCACTATTTCAAATGATTGGTATGACACTGCTATTCAATTACTGTATGCTTAACAATTCACTCACTTTTTATCCTCTCACACGATGAATGTATATAAGCAATCTCACCCCATTACATTCAAACATTTATTAAATAAGGAATTAAATCAACCATATTCGAAGTCTCAATAATATCTTTTTCTGTCGAGACATACTCAAATGTATCAAGCGATGATGGTATTTTACATACCAAGAGATTCTTTTTTTTCAACTTTAACAAACTATAACAAATGTAACTGATAGTAATCGTTCTTAAAAAAATCATGAAACAATTCTTTGTCACTCATTATGTTTTATTTATTATACTCAATGTTTAATTGAATATTATAGAAAGTTAGTCATTAAATATTGACTGCGTTGACTCAAGATCAACAACTTAAACTAACCATACGAATCTTATTCACTGCACTATGCAGTCGCAGCATAGGTAAAGAAAATCACAATCAGTTTGAGAATTGAGAGGAAACCTATGATATATTCATATACTCTTATCTGTGGATATATTCAGATATGACAGTTGAAGAAATATCAATTTACTTATAATTCGAATTTAAATGTTGATAACACTTACATATCACGATATTTATACAAACATTAACCTATAGAACTGAAAGAAAAGAATGAGATAAATATAATGAATTAAATGTATTATAATAAATGTTAATGTCAACGCTCTGTCAAGCATTATGTGTTAAAAATCATGTCCATATTGTGCTCAATTTTGTTTTAATAATTCTAAGAAAAAAATATACAACCATGTACAACTAGAATTTTTTTAAAACTAAATATTATAAATTTATCAAAGCGAGTTAGTTCGATAGATGTCTCTACGCCCGCTAAGAGTGTCTTATCCTTGTTAACTTGATAGGATGTGGCTATGTACGGGAAAGTAGAGTCCAGGAGAGTAAATGTTATCTTGATTAATTGACGATAAATATAATTTGTTTTTGATGTGTAATGTGAGAATAATAGTTTAAAAAAGCGGCTTAATAAGAATCAGTTATAATACAGTATTAGTGGAAGATATTGGTATTCTTCAGTTATAGTTTTAGTACAATTTGAGAGTAAGATTAAGTGATTTACATTATCCAGCGGGTTATAATACTTAGGATTTTCTTTTATCGTGCCACGATGCCACGAATTCGCAGAGGGGCAAGTAATTTTGGAAGACGTACTCGGCAAGCTCGAGCAATCTATGAACGAAGATTGAATGGGACCCATGAACAACATATGATAGACAATATGAATTTGAGAGAGCAAGTAGCAATGCCAATGAAAGTTTAGAGAGACATACTCAACGACTGACAGATGTGGCATTGAGAAATCGAGAGGTGCAACGAGGTGCGACCGCCGCCATTAGAGAAAATAATCAACGACGAGTTAATAATCACAGAGCATTGGTACGTGCATCACTTTTGCGCCTGGCGTTTAATTATGATCCTGAAATTGATTATTCAACACACTCTTTAATTACCATTGGTAATATGGACAATGTATGTAAACATTGCCATGCTCTAAAATTCAAAGGAGAATCAGCAGGTTTATGTTGCGCATCAGAGAAAATTATATTGATAAAATTAACAACACCACCGGAACCTTTGAAAACTCTACTAGATGGAACAACGTCTCAATCAAAAATATTACTGAAAAAAATTCGCAAATTTAATTCATGTTTTCAGATGACGTCTTTTGGTGCTACGAAAGTATTTGAAAATGAAGATGGTCGAAATTTTGAATCAACATTTAAGATACAAGGTCAAGTTTACCACCAAATCGGTTCATTGTTTCCCATGCCTGATGTGAATCCGAAATTCTTACAGATTTATTTTATGGGCGATGATGAACAACAAACAAACATGCGATGCGAATTTAATCACATACAGTTTATGAAGGAAAGAGATATTGTAAACTCTTTGAAATTATTTTTTAAAAACCATAACCAGTTGTTGCATTTGTTTAAGACTCTTTCAAGTAGACTAGAAAACGATGATTACGCTATTATTATTAGAGCAGACAAAGTGCCGATGGGAGAACATGCTGGCGCATATAATATTCCAACAGTCAATGAAGTCGCGGTCGTAATAGCTGGTGATCTATATGAGGGGCGTGATATACGTATACAACGGAGAGATAATACAGGACAGTCATAGTTCTTATGATGCTTTGCAGTATCCATTGATATTTTGAAAAGGTGAAGATGGGTACTATTTAAATATTAAACAAAGGGATCCAAATACAGGTAAAAATCTTATTTTTATAAAAAAAAACAAATAATAATAATTAAAATAATTTTAATATATTTTATTCCAGGTGCAGAACTTGCCAAAAGTAAGTGGCATGGATTTTTACTGCTACCGATTAATGATTCGAGCTAATGAAGAAAACAACATTTTTAAATGCAGACAGCTATTCCATCAGTTCGTGGCCGACATATATGTAACTAGTTGGTTTGGTATTTAGCCTTGAGGCAAGTTACATGAACTTCCCGAAATGTGTAAATAATCGACTTAATTAAAAAAAAATGTGTAAATAATATACTTCATTAATCCTACTTTAAAAAAAACGATAATAATTTTAGCAAACTTTGACGAATTTTTAAAATTAAACTACTTGTTGTAAGGCCGTAATATTACAGTAAGTTCTATAAGACCATGATGTATATCGCCAAAAAAAGTTCCATGAAAAACGGCTTAATTTTTTTTTAACAGTTAATTACAAGAAAACGGCTCGGTAGATTTTCACCTAAAATTAATCAGCATCATTCCCAACTAATATCTTTCGCACAGTTTTTGATATTTTAAAATCGGTTCGGTAGGATGAGCTTAAATGTCGACGAAAATTTAACACTTTTTCTCAACAGTTAATTACAAGAAAACGGCTCGGTAGATTTTCACCTAAAATTAATCAGCATCATTCCCAACTAATATCTTTCGAACAGTTTTTGATTTTTTAAAATCGGTTCGGTAGGATGAGCTTAAATGTCGACGAAAATTTAACACTTTTTTTCAACAGTTAATTACAAGAAAACGGCTCGGTAGATTTTCACCTAAAATTAATCAGTATCATTCCCAACTAATATCTTTCGAACAGTTTTTGATTTTTTAAAATCGGTTCGGTAGGATGAGCTTAAATGTCGACGAAAATTTAACACTTTTTTTCAACAGTTAATTACAAGGAAACGGCTCGGTAGATTTTCACCTAAAATTAATCAGCATCATTCCCAACTAATATCTTTCGAACAGTTTTTGATTTTTTAAAATCGGTTCGGTAGGATGAGCTTAAATGTCGACGAAAATTTAACACTTTTTTTCAACAGTTAATTACAAGAAAACGGCTCGGTAGATTTTCACCTAAAATTAATCAGCATCATTCCCAACTAATATCTTTCGAACAGTTTTTGATATTTTAAAATCGGTTCGGTAGGATGAGCTTAAATGTCGACGAAAATTTAACACTTTTTTCAACAGTTAATTACAAGAAAACGGCTCGGTAGATTTTCACCTAAAATTAATCAGCATCATTCCCAACTAATATCTTTTGAACAGTTTTTGATTTTTTAAAATCGGTTCGGTAGGATGAGCTTAAATATGTACGAAAAGTTTTTTCGAATTACAAAGAAACGGCTTGTCAGATCGTTGCACAAAACTGACAAACGATAGTCCTCACCGAAATACATCAAATGGCTTTTAAATTTCTAAAATCGGTTCAGGCGTTTTTGAGAAAACGTCGATCAAAAGTCTAATTTTGACAAATGCCAAAAGACCATACTGATTTTTGCAAACTTTGACGAATTTTTAAAGCTGAACCAGTTGTCGTAGCGCCGTAATATTTTAGTATGATCTAGAAGACTATGGTATCTATCGTCGAAAAAATAATCATAAAAAATCGTCGAAATTTTTTTTTTAAAAACTTTATTACAAGAAAACGGCCCGGCCGATCTCTGCCAAAAACTAATCAGCACGATTCCCAACCAATATCTTTCGAACGGTTTTTGAATTTTCAAAATCGATTCAGAATTGCGGGCTAAAACGTAGACGAAAATTTTTTCACTTTTCTGCCATTTATAAAGAAACGGCTTGGCCGATCGTCGCACAAAACTGACAAACAATAGTTCTCGTCGAGATACATCGAATGGCTTTTAAATTTTTGAAATCGACCCAGCCGTTTTCGAGAAAACGTCGATTTACGGCAAAAAATCTGTTGGTGCACACGCACACACACACATACACACACACACACACACACACACACATACTTTTTCCAAATTTGGTCTCATTCGATTCAGAATGGCTTGAAACGTCGAGAAAACATAAAATTAGCGAATCGGATTTTTTGATGAAAACATAAACTTCTCCTTCGGGAAGTTAAAAAATTGAGAGTGAGAGATTGAGATTCATAAAGTTTAATCAAGCCAAACTCCGCGCTGAGGAATATATACATTTGCGTGATGCAGTACTTGGTAATGTAGATGCAATGAATGATATTAGTCATATTGGTACTGCATATATTCTTCCATCTTCTTATATTGGAAGTCCGCGACATATGCAGGAGTACATTCAAGATGCTATGGCTTATGTTCATGCATATGGCAGACCTGATCTGTTCATTACTTTTACGTGCAATCCCAAATGGAATGAAACAAAAAAATTGTTGATGCCGGGACAAACAACGATGGATAGGCATGATATAACTGCGCGAGTTTTTAAACAGAAGTTGAAATCATTGATGAATTTGATAACGCATCATTCTGTTTTTGGTGAAACACGCTGTTTGTTATACTCAGTAGAATGGCAAAAGAGAGGTTTACCTCATGCACATATTTTGTTGTGGTTAGTTGATAAGGTACGTTCTGTAGAGATTGACAATATTATCTCAGCAGAAATTCCTGATAAAAATGTTGATGAGAAATTGTTCGATATTATAACTACTAACATGATACATGGTCCATGCGGTACACTCACCATTATGTCACCATGCATGGTGAATGGAAAATGTACAATACATTTTCCAAAATCACTTCAAAACGATACTATCACCGACATTGATGGTTACCCCGCTTATCGGCGACGTGACGTTGACAATGGTCGACAATGTTTTGGATTGCGACTGTCGAATGGCGGGGTAATAGATGTTGTTAATCGATGGGTAGTTCCTTATTCGTCTTTGTTATGCAAAACCTATAAAGCACATATAAATGTCGAACTGTGCAGCTTGGTGAAGTCAATAAAATACATATGCAAATATGTTCATAAAGGGAGCGACAAAGCAATATTTGCAATTAAAAGTATTAATGAGAATGATGAAATAACTCGATATCAAATGGGTAGATACGTCAGTAGCTATGAAGCTATCCGGCGTATTTTCGGTTTTCCCATACATGAAAGGAAACCATCTGTGGTACATTTGGCTGTGCATTTGGAGAACGGTCAGCGGGTATACTTTACAGAAAACAATATATTACAACAAGCTTTGACTGCTCCGAAGACTACTCTAACTGCATTTATAAACTTTGTAATAGATCAGATATTGCTGGAAGATTTGCTACAACATTATTATATACAGATATACCTAAATATTTTACATGGGATAAAAAATCAAAAGATTGGGTACCTAGAAAACGAGGTATTCCTGTTTCAGGATTCGAAGGCATATATATGACAAACAATTTGGGTAGATTGTATACTGTTCATCCTAAGCAACGAGAATGCTTTTATTTACGTTTGTTGTTGTATAATGTCATAGGATCAAAATCATTCCAAAATTTGAGGACAGTCAATGGTATTTTATATGAAACTTTTTATGATGCGTGCCGTGAGTTGCACTTATTGGAGAATGATGATGAATGATGAATCAATGGGACATGACTCTTGCAGATGCAGCACTGATTTCATCTGCACATCAAATTCGACAATTATTTGCAATAATATTAACAACATGTTTTCCATCAGATGCATCTGCACTGTGGAATACACATAAAGACCCAATGAGTGAGGATATTTTGCATCGGTATAAAATTAATAATCAAAATAATAATCATGAATTTTCAGAACAAATATATAACGAAGCCTTAATAATGATTGAAGATATGTGCTAATTCATTTGACCATGTCAGCACCGAGCCGAGCAGCAGTAGATATCATGAACAACGATGTTGAACGTGAACACCAGTTTGATAAAACTGCTTTAGCTACTTTTGTTGCTAATAATAAAATATTGCTTACTGCCGAGCAACAAAGCGTATATGATCAAATCAATACGTCAATTGAGGCACAACAGGCGGATTCTTTTTTTTGGACGCACCCGGAGGCACTGGAAAAACATTTATTATTTCACTGATTCTTGCGCGTGTGCGGTCGCAAAAAAAATTGCGTTGGCAATAGCTTCATCAGAAATTGCAGCAAGCAACATTACTTGAAGGAAGACGAACTGCGCATTCGGCATTTAAGTTACCTTTAAATGTTCATGTTAACCTAGAAGAAATGTGCACACAGAAGAAGAGAAATCAGGAATGGCGAAAGTTTTGCGAAAATGAGAAATAATCATCTGGGATGAATGTACTATGGCGCACAAGCATTCGCTTGAAGCTCTTGATAGGTCGCTGAAAGATATCAAAAATAATAATTGTCTTTTTAGTGGCTGCTTATTGCTACTGTCTGGCGATTTCAGACAAACATTGCCCATTATTCCACGAGCGACGCGTGCTGATGAAATAAATGCCTGCTTAAAAAAGTCTTATCTGTGGCGTAACTAGCTGTAAGTGGAATTCTGTTTTTAAGGCAATTGAGGCATCGTGCCTTAAGGCAAATTGCTGGAACTTCCCGTACCAAAAATTATTATTTTTTAAAAAAACGATTAACATTTTTGAAAAAAAAAATTTCTTCGAAAAATGAGATTTTTGAGAAAACTATAAATTAGACAAAAAATTACTTTTTTTGAAAAAAAAATTTTTTTTAAATTTTTTCTAAAAAAAATATTATTTTTTTAATTTTTTTTTTTTTTTGAAAAAAAAAATGTTTTTATTTTGACATATTTTGAAGATCTGAACTATTTTTCAAAGCAATCGTACTGCTTTAACTGCATAGAGACAAAATATAAAGCGCGTAAGCGCCGCGTCGCTGTCTAACGGATAAACATTGGTATGGAACCCATAGGAATGTAATCAAAATTATACTTATTGTTAAAATCTCTATAAAATATCTGATAATTTGATGTGCGTATGTCTAATGATCATTTTTGACCGCCAAATGACATTTTTTTTACTTTTTTGTTAAATCTCCGAAACCGCTAGACCTGCCCTCATGAAAATTTGATCAATTCTTCATCTTGTCAATACAAGTAAAATGTTTTTTGAATTATTCAAATCGGACGCTCCGTTCTCTTAAAAACTGAGTTACCGTTTTCGGCACTTTTTGCCCCGTATCTTCGAAACGGCTAGACCTGCCTTCGCCAAAAACTAATCAGCACGTCTCCTTATCAATACGAATCGAATGTTTTTTGAATTATCCAAATCGCTTCATTCGTGTTGCCGAAATCGTCGACGAAAATTTGTATCCGCACATACATACACACACGTACATACACACACACACACACACACACACACACACACACACACACATTTTTTTCTAAGGTATGCCAAAATGATCAGAAACCTTTGAAACGTAAAGATATATAAAAATTTTCATTTTCGATTTTTTTGCGATTACTATAACTTACCCTACGGGAAGTTAAAAAATTATATCTTAGTGTTAACATTCGTGTTCAAGGTCTAAATGATGCACTGGGGTCGAAATTTTCACAACAATTATTGGATATTGGTAATGGCAGAATTAAGTTTTATGAAAATATAGAGTACATTCAATTCCCTGATAATTTTTGTAATATGGTTGATGGCAAAGCCAAACTAATAGAAAATATTTTTCCAAATTTAAAGCACAATCATGAAGATCATGAGTGGCTACAAGAACGAGCAATTTTAGCAGCAACGAATTTAGATGTAGACGAAATGAATTTAAAAATACTACAGATACTGCCAGGATATGAATTCACATTTAAATCAGTTGATATTGTTATTGATCCTGATGAAATCGTCAATTATCCAGTCGAATTTTTAAATTCTCTTAATTTACCAGGAATGCCGCTGCACAAATTACTATTGAAAGTTGGTTCTCCAATTATATTATTAAGAAATTTAAATGCCCTAAAATTATGCAATGGCACAAGATTAGCAATAAAAATTATGGGAAACATTACAGAGGCAATTATACTGGGTGGAAAATTCAAGGATGATGTTGTTCTTTTGCCTAGAATACCACTAATTCCTTCGGAATCAGTAATACTTTTTAAAAAACTGCAGTTTCTTATACGTTTGGCATATGCTATGACCATAAACTAGTCACAAGAACAGACAATGAACTTTTGCGGTATAAATTTAGTAAATCCGTGCTTCAATCACGGACAGCTATATATTGCTTGCTCAAGAGACAGAAACCGAAATAATTCATATATTTATACACCTAATAATCTCACCAAGAATATTGTATATCCTTTGGCATTACATTAAAAGTTTAAAATAAAAAAAAGAATTATATACTATATTCATTAAGATTAATTATATAATTTATATTAATTATAATAACATTAATCATTGGAATTGCATTCCTGAATATAATATTGTTAAATTGTACATTTGAAAATAAATATAACTATTGTATTAATTAAATTTATTTATGGATAATTTAAAAAACTAGTTGGTTTGGTATTTAGCCTTGAGGCAAGTTACAATAACTTCCCGATATGTGTAAATAATCGACTTAATAAAAAAAAAATGTGTAAATAATATACTTCATCAATCCTACTTTAAAAAAAAAACGATAATAATTTTAACAAAGTGTGACGAATTTTTAAAATTAAACTACTTGTCGTAAGGCCGTAATATTACAGTAAGTTCTATAAGACCATGATCTATATCGCCAAAAAAAGTTCCATGAAAATCGGCTTAAATTTTTTTCAACAGTTAATTACAAGAAAACGGCTCGGTAGATTTTCACCTAAAATTAATCAGCATCATTTCCAAATGATATCTTTCGAACAGTTTTTGATTTTTTGAAATCGGTTCGGTAGGATGAGCTTAAATGTGGACGAAAATTAACACTTTTCTTCAACATTTAATTACAAAAAACGGCTCGGTAGATTTTTCACCTAAAATTAATCAGCATCATTCCCAAATGATATCTTTCGAACAGTTTTTGATTTTTTGAAATCGGTTCGGTAGGATGAGCTTAAATGTGGACGAAAATTTAACACTTTTTTTCAACATTTAATTACAAGAAAACGGCTCTCGGTAGATTTCACCTAAAATTAATCAGCATCATTCCCAAATGATATCTTCGAACAGTTTTTGATTTTTTGAAATCGGTTCGGTAGGAGAGCTTAAATGTGGACGAAAATTAACAACTTTTTTCAACATTTAATTACAAGAAAACGCTCGGTAGATTTCCACCTAAAATTAATCAGCTTCATTCCCAAATGATATCTTTCGAACAGTTTTGATTTTTTAAAATCGGTTCGGTAGGATGAGCTTAAATGTGGACGAACATTTAACACTTTTTTTCAACATTTAATTACAGAAAACGGCTCGGTAGATTTTCACCTAAAATCAATCAGCATCATTCCCAAATGATATCTTTCGAACAGTTTTTGATTTTTTGAAATGGTTCGGTAAGATGAGCTTAAATGTGGACGAAATTTGACACTTTTTTCAACAGTTAATTACAAGAAAACGGCTCGGTAGATTTTCACCTAAAACTAATTAGTATCATTCCCAACTAATCCTTTTCGAACAGTTTTTGATTTTTTAAAATCGGTTCGGTAGGATGAGCTTAAATGTGGACAAAAAGTTTAACACTTTTTTTCAAATTACAAAGAAACGGCTTGGCAGATCGTTGCACAAAGCTGACAAACGATAGTCCTCACCGAAATACACCGAATGGCTTTAAATTTCTAAAATCGGTTCAGGCGTTTTTGAGAAAACGTCGATCAAAAGTCTAATTTTGACAAATGCCAAAAAGACCATACTGATTTTTGCAAACTTTGACGAATTTTTAAAGCTGAACCAGTTGTCGTCGGGCCGTAATATTTTAGTATGACCTAGAAAACTATGGTATCTATCATCAAAAAAATAATCATAAAAATCGTCGATTTTTTTTTTAAAAAAACGTATTACAAGAAAACGGCCCGGCCGATCTTTACCAAAAACTAATCAGCACGATTCCCAACCAATATCTATCGAATGGTTTTTGAATTTTCAGAATCGATTCAGAATGCGGGCTAAAACGTGGACGAAAAATTTTTCAATTTTCTGCAATTTACAAAGAAACGGCCCGGCCGATCGCCGCACAAAACTCAGAGACGATAGTTCTCATCGAGATACATCAAATGGCTTTTAAATTTTTGAAATCGGTCCAGCCGTTTTGGAGAAAACGTCGATTACGGCAAAAAATCTGTTCACACACACACACACACACACACATACACACACACACACACACACACACATCTACTTTTTCCAAATTTGGTCTCATTCGATTCAGAATGGCTCGAAACGTCGAGAAAACATAAAATTAGCGATTCGGATTTTTTGATGAAAACATAAACTTCTCCTTCGGGAAGTTAAAAAGTTGAATGATATGGAAAAGTCAAATACTTTTTTAATATAGACATATGTGTACAGGACAACGTCTGTCGGGTCAGCTAGTATATATATATATATATATATATATATATATATTTATCGTTGTGTCGTTTTTTTACCGGTTTTTTTTAAAAGGTTTGGTTTACGGATAGA